AGGAACTCTGGACCAAATGACTTTTAAATAAGATTGATCAAACATCTGTTGCCTTAAGGCGTGTGTGTGTGTGTGTATGTATGTATAGTGTCATTCTCAGATTTGTGATTGAGAAGCAGACTGTGATGGGTACGTGTCGGTTATTATCTGACACGTACCCATCTGAGTGGGTGAGTGAAAATATCAGTTTGTGCTGAAGAGCAGGTGGCAGCAGATACACCTGTCAAACAAATGTAGGAGTGAAGTAAAAAGTACATTTTTGTGGTAAAAGAAGTTTGGTGCAGAAAAATTAACAGAAACCACCAAGCAGACACTGTGGTCACACCCACATGGGCCCCACAGTGTCCAACTCAGTTAAACTGGTATGTTTCTGTTATTTGAAAACTCTTCTGATCTAGGTGCCATAGTCATGTGACTTATGAAATGCCCCTTGTAGATTCGTCAGATGGTGCCAACACCGCCCCTTTCATGTGCACATGCGGGGAAACTGGATTATAGCCAGCTGCTCCTAGTCTGCCCGCTGTGTGTATGACCGACCGGGTAAAACATTACATTTCACATTAAGCGTGTAACGAGCTGTGGCTTGCAGGGGGCAACGGTCCGTCAGTGACCTCTGAATCCTGCAGTGTTCTGTTCAGTCCCACTATGAGTTCCTTCCTGGCTGTGTCAGTGAAGCCGGTTCACACCTGGTTGTTTTACCTGAACAGCAAACCCAGCCTAGTGTTTCTGAGACAATCACAGAAAAACTCAAGGAAATTAATCCATTCATCACAGATTCTCATATTTTACATTTCTGCCTATTGCACTTGTGTGTGTTTGTGCGTGTAGTGACATCACTACATCAAAGTATCCACATTCAGTGTATTTAGTCATGAGGACGACTCTCTGACAGGCAGATGGAGGTCATGAAACGACAGCATTCCCATTCAGCTCTGCTTTATTTGCAGTTTTTCATTTATATCTGTTAATTTAAACATATCTGCAGTAAAATATTTTTTATACAGGAATCATTTCATAAATGAGAGACTGCAGAGAAAATGAAAAGCATTGCTGTGTTGTTTCCAACTCTGCTAGGCGAACTTTAAGTTTTGGGCGAAGCAGTCCTTCAGTTCACAGAGAGAAGCCTGAAACGGGACTTGTCTGCACCGGCAGTGTCGGCGACCCAGCTGGCCACAGACGTCCCAGTCCACCGAGGGGTAAAGACATCAGCCAAGGTTCCACTTTCCTCTCAGCTGATCTGCAGCAGGTCGTAACTTCCTGCGTTCTCCACCTCGTGTTTGTCGTCCACCTGCAAACACAGTGTAATCACCTGACTGCTCATTAAAGCGAATAAAATCCTTCTCTCAGTCGTCAGAGTGAGAGCCTGAAAGGTTTGAATGAAACAGAGCGTGCTGTAAACTGAGAGCAGACTGCAGTCTGGTCGTTGGTCACAGCTTTCATTCTGAGCTGCACAAACGTTCGCCGATGACTCACCGTGACCGCCGACGCACCGGACTCGCCAGCCGCTGGCGCCGCTTCATACACCGGGTTACAGATGTTGCGACTGCTGTTTGTGGGCGGAGCTTCTTCCTCCCCATCATCCTCCTATCAGAGCAACCACAGGAGTAACTCGAGTTACACGAGTGAAGATCGATAGTGAAGCTGCGTCACATAAAAATGTCATGATGAGGTGCGTCACACTGACAGCACTCCTCCTGGAACCTTAGCCTCAGTGCAAAGTTCCAGTCTGACCTTGAAGTAGTGGAACTGGAAGGGTTTGGTGTTGTTACGGTAGAAGCGGTATCCCACAAAGATGGCTCCGCCCACCAACGCGATCAGCAGCACCACGCCGATGCCCATCCCAGCTTTGTGCGCCACATGCATCTGCAGAGCCAATCAGAGAATTCAGGGGGTCAGATAAGGAGTGTGCATTCTGATTATGGAGGCAAGTCGGACTCACCTGTGGGTGAGGGGCCGGAGCCTTTAGGGGTCCCTGAATTACGTGGATGATCCCGTTGGCAGCCATAATGTCAGAGTCGCTGACGAAGCGGTCGTTGATGTAACGAAACGACTGAGAGAACGAAACCAGATTAGAACTTCATACAAACAACAGAAACAACACACAAACACACACTCAGAGACACACACACACTCAGACACATACGCACAGAGACAGGACAGTTCTGTTTGCTCTCTCAGACACATAAATGAGGTGGAAAGGCAGCACTTTAGCAAAGGTAGCCCATAAACATGAGGGGGGCACTCTGAGCACGTTTAGGTCAGATCACTGTGCTGCAGAAGACTTTTGGTCTTCTCTGATTCAGATTGACGCAGTGAGCAGGAGGAGAGAGGCGTGTTAGTGTAGCGGTGCATGACGGTTGCATGAGCATGGTTCTGACCAGAGCCGACGGGTCAAGCTGGTCGGCGACTCCGAGGACGGTCAGTCTGCCGACTCGAGTTCTGATCCGGCTGCCGTTCTTCAGCTGGCTCAGAGGGAAAGCCTGACCCTCCGACAGGTGGAACTCGATGTCACGCAGAGACAGAGTCTGGAGGAACGCACAGGTGAGCACACCGATGTAACTGTATGTGTGACAAAATTAAAGGGCCCTGGTGAATGGCTCACCTGGTTGCCGGGCAGGCCGCTGTTGTCAGGTACGAACAGAGTGGACTGGACAGTCAGGTTACTGAGACGCTGCACGAGCTGCTTCCCCGACTCGGAAGCCTGGGAGCAGTTCAGGATTTGCTGCAGAAGGAGGGATAGGATTTTACACTTGCAGGCAATGATCAGTGGCATCTGAGCGATCTGACGTCACTCACGGTGAGGAAGTTTGAGAAGCTCGGCGTGGATCTCAGGACCTGCAGCAGATTTCCAGTACAGCTGAAACCGTCCCCAGTGTAACCTCGTTTGCACTCGCACTTCACCTCTGAGACAAAGACACACGGGCCGATCATCTGCACGTAACCATGGCACTGAGCACGCTTCAACTAACAAACCTAGTCTGTGCAGACTTCCAGCTACTGTGAAGGAACAAATGTGCCTTTTCCCTCACAGCCAAATTTTACTAAGTATTTACAAACTTTAAATAAAGTGCACCTCACCTGCTCATATCTTAATAAACACACTGTCTGCATTATAGAGATCTGACAAACAGATTTACTTTCACTCGTGTTCACATGAAGCCAGACGTGTCATCATCTTCCTCCCTCACCTTGCATCCTGTAACAGAAGGTGTCCCAGGTCTCGCTCAGGTTTTTGCGGGTGCCGTAGTCCACGATGCCCACGTGTCCGAAGCCACACTTTGGGTTGGAGTAGGTGGTGGGGTACGCCACCCGGGCCTGGTCCAACCAGCCAGCAGCACACATGTTCAGCCCGCCCTGCAGAGCCACACACAGCCGACAAGTTTCAGCAGGAGTGCCAGGGGCTGACGTCAATTGTCCGGGAGCTACTGTGATGTGTTCACTGACCTGCTGAGCGTAGGCCAGTTGAGTGTACGTGGCCAGGCGGCCTCCCTCTGCAGCGCAGGCCTGCTCAGCCGCCGTGTAGTTCAGTTTGTACTGACCTTTCTTGGAACGATAGTGGAACACACCGAGCATCGAATCTGCACAACACATAAATATCAGAATGTACGAAAAATAGTGAGGGAGAAGTTCAGCATGTCAAGGTTATCAGTGAAGGGAACACTGAGCTCCACCTACAGGGAAGAAAAAGGAACACAGATTAATGAATTCATACATGTCTTCTTTTTCCATGAAGGTACAAAAAGTTATGATTCAAGTATAATTAGAGATATTCTGAGAGTTATTCATTCATTGATGATTCATTTGAAACAACAGTAAATTTCTTAAACACTCCATGTATGTTTTAGTAAATACCCGCTACTCTGTGCAGCAACACCCCCTGGTGTGTAGCTGCTGCTGACGCAAATGAGGCTCAGAGAAATTTGAATTGAAAGATTTGACGATCAGCAGGAAAATATTCATCTTTGTAAACACATCACAACAGACACAAACTTTCTGCTCCACTTCAAAAAAAGTCAGGGTTCGAGCTCCGAGGGTTAAATCGGCTGCTGTAAGCAAACGTCACGACCTCGCTCACAATAACAATATGTATTCACCCTGCAAGAATCACTCCTGCTCAATACTTCATCGTCCAATGAGCTTCCACTTGAATGACGTTCACGTGTACCTTCAAAGTGGAGGTCGGTGCATTTGGCGTCGCGATGACACTGGCCGTTGTTTTGCAGACAGCGGCTGATAGGCAGCTGTTTGACCTCACAGGTCACTCCGTCTCCGATGTAGTTGTTCTTACACATGCACTTCCTCCTCCCCTGTGCACGCGCACACACACACACACACACACACACACACACTTTACAGGTAAGGAGGACCTGATGGTGTAACCTTAGAAAACAAGTCCCATGTCTTCCTTACCGGAGCCGTCATGGTGCATACAGCGTGTTCATGGCAGCCACCATTGTCTCCTAATGCACAGGGGTCGATGGGCTGACAGGTGAACCCGTCTCCAGTGTGACCTTTGGGACAGGTGCAGCTCACCTTACCTCCATTCTGTGAGCACTTGGCCCCCTTAGCACAGCCTCCATTCCAGATCTGACAGATGTCCACCACTGCAGGGAAAGATGTACACACTCAGCTACCATCATTTAACCTCCAAGGACCTGGCATCCACATATGGGGACATCACATTTTGGGTTATCTAGATCACAATTCTAAATTTTGCTCTTTCAAATGGCTTTTAAATGAGCCATATTGCTCAAAGGAGCACAATTGTTGTTTCTCATTTTCTTTTTGTACTCGGGAAAAATTCTGCTATGTTCAGACATCAAATAAAGAGTTTTGCACATCATTACTCAACTGTGACTTTATAGTGTTCTATTGAACACTATGAAGCCAAATAGCACAGATAAATTAAAATTGCATGCCATGAAAGAGTTCGGGTTAAATGAGATTGAAAGAGGTTAAAAGTGAGATGGCACCTCATGCTGGTCCACCGTTACCTGTGCAAGTGAATCCGTCACCATCATGAAAAGGCTGGCACTCACAGGTGTTGTTTGCCTTACAGACGGCTTTTGGAGAGCAGGCTGGAGAACACTGAAAGATCTCAGCTGGAGGAGACACAGAAACATGAGTGTGATTAAAGTGCACAAACATCTACTTTTCATACCTGAGTATTTTCATTCTCGGGTTTGGTCTGAACTGCGCTGAGAGCTGGCGAGTGTCTTTAGGACTGATCGGTTTTATCTAATTCAGTCTAAGCCAACGATGGAAATGAACTCACTCTGCTGAACGTCACAGCGGTCTCCGGTCCATCCGGCCTCACAGAAACACAAACCCGTACCTTTCCACCCGTCGTCACATGACCCATGCTCTGAGCAGTTACAGGCTGAAAAACAAGCAAGTCAGGATAGTAAGAGTGTTACAATCTGACACCGCAGAGAAAACCCCGTCTATTACTCACCTTTACAGGTGGGTCCATAGAATCCATCACTGCACAGCTCACAGGACGTGCCTCTGAAACCCGTGTCGCAGGTACAGGTACCGTTACCAAGGTGACCGTCATCACATTTCCCACGGTTATTGCAGGGAGATCTGACCCCCCCAGGACACTCTGCACAGAGAGCAGAGAAGGCAGTCCATCAGTAGCTGAATCAATCAAATCAATCAGTGACGTAACCTGCTCATTTATATGATGTCACTGAGATCATTTGCATTTTGAAATGCTCACTGAAGCACTGGTGACCTATCCAGGTGTACCCTACCTCTCACTGGGACAAACCCTCAAATCATTATCAGTGATAACCTCAGCACCAACCCTAACTCTAACCCCAGCCAATCAGAATATTTATTCTTTGCTTTTAATTAACGATATAAAAAGCTGAATATTCTGTCACACAACAAAAACTGTTCAATTTCCCCTAAAAAAAAGTTTCACAAATTTAAGAAAGACTGAAGAAATGGTTTTAATATGAGGATGACGTTGTGATCTCACCCAGACAGTCTCGTCCGTAGTAACCACGACAACACTTTGGCTCCCACATGTTAAAGGTGCAGATGGGGCGACAGCCGGTGTTCTTAGCAAAGGAAAAGGTGGGCAGATCACACTTCTGAACCTCCTGAACACAAAAAACAGAGACGTTTCCTTCGAGGCTCAGCCTGACAGAGGCAGTGAGTTTGTTAAAGATGGGACTCAGACCTTACGAATGCCTCCCGCAGGACAGCGAGTGGCAGAAAAGCTGCATCCTCCACAGCTTGTCTAACACAGAAGAAGAAAAGAAAAGATCAAATGAACCATCAGCTCACCTGCAAAAATCTTTTTATTTGTGCTGCTGTGTGAAATGTTTGACTGATTTTAGGACCATCTAGCTTTTTTAAACCCACACTAGTGTGGAGTTGTGTCACACTCCACTGCCAGGCTCTCGGTGCTCTAAATCATTTTTCAGACTGTTTCACCTCTACAGGAAAAATAACCAGAAACTAAAACATGAACACAGCAGACCTTTAAGACTATAGGTTAGGCCAGGCTCTCACCGTTACTTTCACTGTGTGAGTACACTCAAGCCTACGAGTTACAAACAACCCGTGCTCCAACACCATCAGCATTAACAGTTTACACAGTCAGAATCAGTATGTCTGGTTGTTCCAGGTAGCATTCAGATGCATCTCAGACAGTAAAGTGAGGATTCACCGGAAGGTCAAAGGTTCTTTGTTCATCACAGCGTCCTCCGAGGCTGGGAGGAGTTAGCAAGCAGTCAATCCCGTAGGCAATGCCTGCTTTAAAGATGAGGTGTCTCTGAACAATCCGACACTTCCTGTTGTTGATGAAGATTTCTCCCTGTTCAAAGGACAGTTGGTTATTTGGAGTCCATGTTTGTCTTGTTTGTCTTTGCTGTAGATTTCTCTTACTGTAGTACTCACAATGTTGTCTGTCCCACCACAGGAGAAGGAGAGCGGCGAACCCTGCAAACTCCGAGCCGAGTCCAGGAAGATCAGTCCTTCAGCGTAAACCTGAGATTAAAGGCATTTTAAACTAAACCTGAGAAACCACCTGACCTGCTTCAGCGTTTTTACCTCCACAGCACCATGTTTGTTCTGCGATAACCTGCCTGAGGCACCCTCACATTTTATCCCATTTATCAAATCTTTCAGAGCTGTTCTTCCAGCTGCCATGCTGTAAAGTGTCTAACGCTTCTCTAAAAGTACCCTTTAAAGAACTTTTACCTTCTGGCTGTGCAGGATGTGGTATTTCAGGTACTCCATCAGCTGGGGTCGATTGTGTTGGTGGAACAGGAAGTCCTTCTGTTCCTGCGGCAGAGATGCCATGACACCGTCTGACGGCAGGAAGATTGTCACCGGCTGGTACATGATATCATTCACCAGGTCCATTACACCTGTGTCCTGAAAAACATGAGATTTCATGCGAATAAAACTGGCTAACAGGACACCAGCTCTTCTGCTAGTTCACTCCACAGTCCACTCCATCCATCTATGTGTGAGTATACTGGTGGCTTCCGGTCGAGTGAACGCTGGCGCACTTGGCTGCCGCTGCTCACCGGTTATTATTATTACTATTATAATTTTTTTTCAGTTGCTGATGACAATTTGAATCAAGTATCTAAGGCGCAACCGTGTTTTGACTTGTTTTCGCAATATTTGCGGGCTTGCGCTGCAGCTGTCAGCTGGTTGTTCGGTCCCTCCGTTTGTGTTCAGTGCTCGGCCCTGATTAAGATGCGGATCCACAGGGTGTTGGTGTGGCTCGTGCTCACCTGGGATTTTTTTATCCATCATTCATCACCTGCCGACAGCTCTTCTCCAGTACTCTGCTACGGATCTTTTGCGGCTCCGTTTTTGCCTGGCTGTCTCTTCACCTGTGGCTCTATGCTTCTACCCGGACATC